TTTCATTTTCACTGCCAGAATTCGTCGAGAGTTGTTGGGATATCACACCAAAAGCTCTTCCAACAACACTCGGTTAACCAAACCCAAAACGCTCTGAGTGGACGTTGGCAGTCAAAATGAATTCATGGCCGATTGGCCATTGAAGCGGGAAACTAGACGGGTGAACCGCAACAGAGCGGTGAAACCGAAAGAAGCCTTGTAGGGGCTCATGCGATGCCTATGCGCGGTAGCGAACTTGGATGGGAGTTCGGATTCGAGGTCCCATCTACTGAGGTGGTCCGCATCAAGATTCAAAGGACCGGGAATGTGTGAGATGTCGCAGCTGATGCGTTCTGAAACTAAAATGGAAGCTAAATGCTCAACAAAGTAACAGAGCAGAGCGGATGTTGTAAAAAGTTTATTGCCTGAGGCTTCTGCTACAATGTTGTCACTGAGGCTCTGGAAATGAAGCGGGATACAAACAGTTGCATGGGCAAATAGCTAGACATAAGAGAACAAGAAACCCTTGGGCTAAGGTTTCATAGCAAGCGTACAAGCGATGTCTCGCTGTGCATCCGGTCGAACTGGAATATCCAGAGACTTGACATCAAGGACTTTCCATCGTTCTGCAAACCAAAAGCTGGTGGAACCGGATTCGATGAGACCACCGGCTTGAAACGAATCCCCTTGGGCCGAGGCATCTGCTGATGCGTGAATGGAAACCTGAAGCGGCGGGCGCATACTCCGGAGAGGGGGTGAGATTCTCAACCACCCCAACCATAGTTTGAGAACACGTCGTCGGCTATGGACTGAAAGCTTTCGCTGTTGTGATTTGGGATTGTGATGATTCGAAGCCATTGCCTACGGTCAGTCAACCGTACCGATTCCACTTCCTGCAGGGTTTGGACTGGGGTATGTTGAACAGAGACCAGTTTGGAACCAGCCGGGATTGCTGTGCCGGTCGGTGTGCAGAGAAAGGTCAACTCGTCTGAAAGGCATGATTTTACTAGAGTCCAAAATCCTGGGTTCACACTGTAATGTGTTGCGGGGCAACAATACAAGTCTGAAAACAACCAGTGGAGCAAGGCACGGAATGGCAAAAAGAGATGAGTGACCCAAAGAGCCAATCCTGGAAAATTTTCCAATTGTTTGCAAGTGCATTGACGATGTTTAAGCAGATCTTTGATCTGTGAGATCAGTTTGTCCTGTTTGTCTGGGTGCAGACTTACGAGGCCATTGAAAAAGTTAAAGCGCCATCCTATCCAATCAATGTCCATGTGTGCATTTACGCCAGCTGAGAGGTATGCAGAAAGTTCTATTAAGGAGATCCATTTCAGGAGGCACCAAAATGTCGATAGGCAAAACTGTTCGGTTGAGGCTTTCTAGTGCTGTACACAGAGGAGCTTGGGCTCCACTGCAAATGACTAAGAGCAGATGAGGCCCTGACGCAATCAAAAGAGTACCTGGGCTGATCGGCGGTGATACGGAGGATTGGTTGGTCAGGGGTGGTGCAGGTTGCTCTTCGGCAGGACAGGCAGGGACAGGTGGTGATACCCTAGACGTGTCTGTGTCCCCTTCGGAACACGCAGGGCCCCGTCAAAACGGAGCAGTTCGAATGTCAATTGCAGTGTGCTTTTGGCCGCAAACTGTACCATCGTTCTTCAACACTGCACATACATGTTCATACTTACAGGCTTTAGGATTGGAGCACATTTTCTTCTGATACTTGAGGCAAATCGTTTTTTTCTGACCGTCGCGGATCACTTCAGTACCCCAGGCAGGCAGAGTTGAGGACATGGTCGATTTGCCTGAGCCTTTGGGTGAAGACTTACCACTGCCTTTGCTGCTGTCCTTTGAAACTCACGCGGGGCACGAATGGGGCGAGGTTGCAACAAGGAAGCCATTTCCGCTCGAATTTCAACGAGTTCGTGAATGGCGTCATCGAGGTCCACTGTTTATAGTTAAAAAGCCCAGCAATCTTTCCCCAAAGGACTTGATCGGCCATCTGTATTTCGGAAACATTTGGGGGGGCGTAAACCACTCTCAGAATCGAAACGTTGACTCGCATGTGCCAAAAATCGATGAACATACTTCTTAAGCGTTGACAAACGCGCTCCCCGACAGAAGGCCACCGCGGCCGCCTGCAGGTGCAGAAGTTGAGACAACTGCTGAAGCCCAATGTTGGATTGGGGGATCTCTCGAACTGGGATATCATCGATCAGGAGATCCGACAAGGCGGAGAGATCGGCGCGGGCGGCTTTGCGAGCTCGGATCATTCTAGATTCATCTTGGAGTTTGGCACAAAGCCGATATTTCCAGGCAATCCATTTCCATTTTTTCTGCTGAAACTGCTGGTAAGTCAATGCTAGCATGCGACTGGAAGGCATGAGATCTGGATCCAGGAGTTCTCCTGCGTATTGACGCTCAAAGTTGTCTCGCAGCTCCCGAATGAGATCCGGGCTGAGCTTAGCCTGGAATGGTTCATTCCAAGATGAACTTGTTCGAGAACCTGAAGACAGGTCGGAGCTATCACCTGATGCCGGAATGAATGAGGCATGGGCGAGACCTGAAGCAGCCGCTGGCTGGCCATGCGTCCACAACACTCGAAGTGAAGAGCGGATCCTAGGGGTTATGTCCAAACCCATGGAATCAATGGCAGAGTCCAATTCCGTCAACGACAAGGCTAGCAGACCGAACGTTTCGGTGTCATAGTTCTCGTCCAGCTGTGCTTGTTGGACTGTGTCGGGGATGCGAAGTTCGTGCAACAAATCCACAAAACACGAGCGAGCCATGAGATGGTATACAACGATTGGAATATAGAGAAAAAGGATGTTCCATTAAAAATATAGAGATTTTTGTCTTTTTTGCTTTGATTTAACATACGCATATTAGACAGGCTGAGAATTAAAGGAAGCAATCATGCTGATTCAACCGGTGTACAATGTCGGGCTGGGTTCCACACAGCGGGTGGATGAGCGGTTGGCCCAAGAGGCCAAAAGCAGTCAATCGCTGATTGAAAACGCAAGCCATTGGCAACTGCAATGGTCAAAAAAAGCTTGGACTGTAGACAACATCCCACTGATTCACGTCCAGTGACTGCGATTGCAATGACTTTTCGAGCCATCCGCCGACCAAGCTGGTCAACTCCCGGAATCCCGGAGGCAAACTGCTTCCAGTTGGTTGGAAAATGGATGTTCGGGTCATGTTACATGCCCTGATCAATTGGAGGGGTAAGATACCCTCGAACCGAAAGGAGGACTAGAAAGGCCGCTTCCAAAGTGAGGTGTTCATCCACCAATTGAAGCTCTCTCAGGACGCCAATCGAGGAGGAGAGCTCCGCCGAAAGAACCGTGATGTTGGGTTCTTGCCGGGGATGTGGAATGAGCGCTCGAGCGAAGCGGAATGTCAATCGACTGTGCTTGGGCTTCCACGTATTTCATCCCGAAGTGGTTGATGTAGGCCTGAAGCGACGTCAGAGCGCACCAGAGGTCCCCTACCGGTTGGGTCAAGTGGGAAACTCCGGAAACGTGCAATATCGATCTGCACGACTCTCGCAGATTTTCCCATCTGTCCAATGCCGCTGGGTCGGGGTGAGCCCCATCTGGCCCAGTACAATAAGCGAGAAGCACCGCAAGAAATTCCATGGTAGCAAACAAAGAGCGTAACGAAACAAGGCTTCGTAGATTTCAGGCTAATAAATGATCATACAAGAAGGGCAGGTCCAGGTGCAAGCAACAAACAAAATGCACAAGAAAGAAACTAAAAACACAATGAGTTTATTCCATGAGAGAAGTGGAGAGGAAAGATATAAACTATCGAGCTCTCAGTTAACTCAATTGGCTTTGGGTCCGCGCGCGCGCGCGCCTCCG